CTGTTCTTCTTTGTAAGAAAAAAGAAAAAATAGTTGAATAAGTGAAAAATATCAAAAATATATGCGATCTTTGAAATACTAATAGAAAAACTTTACAAAAAGCCTATAAAAATACAGTGCTTAATCATCAAGGTTACTGTATATTGTTTATTTATTTTGTTTACGTCAGTCTTTTTTGTTTATAAGCCTCAATTTGAGAAATGCTTTTGTTGAAATAAAGTGCTTCAGTTTTCTATCTGCTCTACACTTCATCTTATGCAGCGAAAAAAAACGTCTCGGATTATGTAAGGATCAGAAATCGTCCCGGGCCACGTCTTTACGGTCCGACCTGGAGTGAACGCATGCATTTTTCGGAACGGCCCGTACGGGTTTGGGCAAATGCATTCTATGGCCCGCCTCGCGGGGTAGCCCATAGAATCTAGATTAGTATGGAAACAGGAGATATTAAATGCGCTGGATTTCGATAATATATCAATACTACTGATATATTACCGAAATCCAGCTTATTATTTAATAAATTACATTCCTAACAGTGAGAATTTCTTTTAAAATAGATGACGACTGTAGTACTACCGGATATGGCCAGAAGTTACAAAAGAAAAAATATCTCCCATTTTGCTTCAACAATAACCATTTTGTTGGGATGATTTACCATCGCTGGAATTTCATCATTCAAAATTTCACAATCACTTAAGTGACCGAGAACAAAATAACTCTAAAAAACAGAAACTCCAGCCAGTAGCTTTAGCAGTATCTAGAACAGATACTCAAAGGACAGTCAACTTTGTCAGCGACATTTTCAAGAGAAGATAGTGTCTTTTTCTCACATTTAATATGAGTGTTGCCTTTCGATGTTGTCTTGTAGGTTTTCCCGGTCCATGGCGATCTCTGGTAAGGATTACCCCTCTTTTGAATTTTTCAGCACAATCGATCAAGTTCTTTTGCTTATAATACTGACTGGGATGGAGTTTTTTTCTCTCATGATAATTGATTTTCTGAGCCATGCATCATCATACGAACGACATAGCTTTTTAACGGAGTTTGAACTAGACTTGAAACTTTTGTTCGAAGATAACTATCGAACTTAAAAAGTCTCAATTTACATCATGTCTCTCTCTCTCTGTTGTAAAGTGTGGAAAAACGAGTATGTTAGATAGAAAAAAGAAATTCGATTCTACGTGCTGCGCGCAACATGGGTCTGTTTATTGAAAATATTTAGTCTTTGTCTTTATAAAATGATGCATCCTTTTGCTTTTTAGATTACTTTCAAAATGTATAGTAGTCCAATCACAGCAGTGAAAAATCTTGATGATTTTATATGCTTTGCAGGTATTTCACTTACGTTTTTGTTCGAGGCTTCTTGCAAATTTCTTATTCTAGGTTCTGGCCCTGTTGTACTTATTTATGATCTGAGAGAACATAAATGTATAGCGAAAGAAATACTGTTACGTAGTTCTGTAATTCATGGCTTTGAGACAAGTACGTTTATACTACTTATATATTTATAACAGTGAATACTTCTTTTCTTCTTCTAGGACAAATATCTCCGCATGATTGGTATGTTGTCATATTTGGGCAACGAGCGTTCACAATTATAAAGTGGTCTAACTTAAAGTGAGTGTTCAGGTTCTTTCGTTCTATCAGTGAGCTTTACAGTCTATGTCCGTTTTTAGCTCAACATTCGAAATCGTTGTTGAACAAATATCATCTCCATCATGGCTATTGAGCGCATATGTCTGGCAGTTTAATCATATAGAACAAGTATAAGCGAATAAGAGAGAGAGACTTCCTCCACCGTTACCTACTTGTCTCTTTTCCAATATCAAAGTCTTTATCTTTTTCTTTAGACTATCACGGTTTTATTTGGAACAGCTCTGAATCAAATTTATCAATTTGTATTTAATAAAGAGAAGAATCTCAAGGATTTAACGTTACTGAAATCATTCGATTATACCACGTTGTATCCTATTAATTATTTATTTTGAGTTCTATAGACGGGAAACAGAAACTACTTGATAGATATCGAAATATTTCTTTCTAGCTTGAATGATAATAGAGAATGTTCTTACTATGTTCACTGAGCTCGCGAGCGTCTATAGCCATTCTGTCCGTGACAATTTATTTATGCTTTAACATTGATTTTATGAATATATATATTCCTCATGTTTATTTCGATTTGCGAATAATCAACTTTTAATGGCATCTGGAACAGTATTTGGCCAGCTGATTATTTATGAATTGTACAATAACGAGTGTGATCAAGTTTTTGAAGAACTACTTCGTTTATCTGATCATAACGTAAGTGTTTGTGTGCGTCTGTCTCCTAGTTTTGTTATTAGAAGCATCTGTCTCCTATTTTATTTATTAAGGGAGCTATATTTGGTATTAGCTACAATAACGAAAACCACTCATTATGTACTGTTGGCGATGATAGAACTGTTAAGGTATACAAATTCGATAAACAATTGACACTTGATCCCGTGTGTTCGTTTTTTGGTCATGAAGCACGAATATGGAAGTCATGTTTAACACAATCGACAATAATAACAGCCGGTGAAGATTCATCCATTCGTGTGTGGTCATACAATGGTCAAATGTTACATCGTTATGTCAATTATCGTTGTAAAAATGTTTGGTCAATTGATATAGTTAACTGTAATTCTATTGTGAGTGGATGGAGTGATGGTGGATTGAGGCTCTACCATTTAGATACAAATTCGCTCGATTCACATCATTCATTATTAGAAATAAACGATGATTTTCCTCGAAATGTTTGTTTTATCTCAAGTTCATCGATTATTTGTCATATGGATAGCGGAAAATTGATGCGATTGAATTTAGATGGAGAAATAGAGAAAAATGAGTTATTTTATGATGGTACGAATAATTTGAAGAGCTATGCTACAATGATGATAAGCCCATATTATAAACAATTAGCTATTGGGACATTAAGTGGACTCGTATTGTTGTTTAATCTAGAAAAATATATCGCTGGTGGTGAGAATGTTCGACAGTTTCAAGCCGATACAAATAAAATATTTCAAGTATTGTGGCCGAAAATTATTGTTAATGGTGAAAATTATATCAGAGAAGAACCATTACTAGTTTGTCTGACGAATGGTCTGATGGTATGTAAATGCCTCTGAATATACCAACGCTTGTGCCAATTATAGCAACGAAATAAAGACTAATATTTGATGACAAACTGCCTTCACAGTTGTTCCTTTTAACGAGTGAAAACTCAGCAATCAATAAATCGTTTTCTCTTTTAGTCTTTGTACGATGTTGCTGGTATACCCACAATTCTTCAACGCTTTCAATTACCAAAAGGACGGCAATCATGGCCAAACACATGCTTGTGGTTGAAACAGGAGAATTTATTTATCGTTGGCGATAGACAAGGTAATATTGCTTGTTATACATTAAATAATACTGACGACGTTTTATCATACTCACAACTATTTCGTGAATTACATGGAAAAAATGGCGTATCATCCATTGATCTATTCTACGATGATCGATTGATATGTTCGTGTGGAAAAGATGGTATCTATAATTTGTTTGAAGTGTGCGAAGAACCGTCTTCACTCACACTGAAATCATCGTCGACATTATCAACTAGCATTGGTTGGTTAAATAGTCTATTAGTAACATCATCAGCTCGAGGCACACAACATTTATTTACCTGTTATCAATCAAGTAAATTTTGTCTATATTCATTGGAACAAAAACGTTCATTTATGGAAGTTGAGTGTGGAGGTGGACATCGAAGTTCTGATTTTTATTTGCATGACATGGTGGTGGGCAAATTAGTTTATATAAGAAATAAAAATGTCTATATTGCCACAAAAAATTTGAAAAATAGTTTAAATGATATTTGCTTAACGACACCAACCCATGGAACAGAAATACGTTGTGTTAAATTATTTAAACCAGAAATATTGCATAGTATTGGTAAGAAGGCTGTTTGATTACGCTTCGTGCGGTCATGTTTCATGAGGAATATTTATTCAAACTTGGATACTTTCCCAAGCTCATGAAAACTAAATTTCTATACAGTAGTTGCTACATACAGCGGAGAACGACGCTATTTGTATCCCATAACTTTCGACGTAAGAAGTTTCCTAAGCGTTTACTCCGTTTTTCATTAAATGACAGTTGTTTACAGGTAGTTTATGACAGAGGAGATAGATTTGCATTTTTTTTCGAAGTGAAGGCGGAAACTCGAAAATAGTTTATAATAGAATTTTGCCGAGATCTTTGAAAAATCAATTCAGTTCTCCGAAACTTAAAACGACGCTAGAGTGGCTTTTATGAATGAGTAGATATCCTAAAGCGCTCTCTTCAAACTGGGAGTCAAAAGAGATCTTGATTTTCAGTGATTTATGTGTGTGGTATTCTACTCAAAACACATTAAAATGACCTCAAAGCCTGGGATAGAGTTAATTTTCTTGACTAAACGTGATCATGAGATCCAAATATGATGTGTCCTATTCCACAGCAACGGTTTATACAATTCATAATTATTACTATATTAAATTACATATAAAAAAACTGTCTTTCATTAAGAAAACGAAAACTTTGGGAACTTTGCTTAAAAGAGGAGTGTGTACATGACTTTGAAATTTTGTACTCATATTTTTGAAAATTATAATCTGACTATTTTAGAATGTCGATCTTGTTTGATAACTGGTAGCGAAGATACACAAATAAAAATTCATTCAATAGACGTATCCTTTAACGATCAGCTATCTCATACACATTTTGTTGATAATTGTTTTATTTTCGCTTAACTCATATGTTAGGACGATGGTAACATCGCGCATATAGTCACATTACAGAGACATTTATCAGCTGTTTGCGATATATCTGTTATCGAATCTTCATCATTATCGTCTTATTTTTTATTCTCATGTGGTGCACGAGCTCAAATTTGTGCATGGAAAGTGACATCACAAGCCAAATTAATTAATGTAACAAATGTAGGGGACTTTATGCTTCATCCACTGAAACGCACGAAGAAAAAATCATTAATTAATGGAGAACAACCGATGAACGATACTGAATTAGATGTACGGTATGTGTCTGCAAACATCATATACTGTAATTACTCAATACATATTTTTTCTTATTTAGATTCACAAGTATCACGGTTATGCCAGTTCATCAAGAGAAAAATGGGGAATCATTTTTAGTTTTTGTTTCGTCATCTGATTCTTTCTTACGGTATATTCAAAAAAAGTTCTAAAGCTTTGGGATTGATTGTTCAAAGCAAATATCTAATATTTCGTTAATTCTGTCCAAATTGTGGTGGTTTATAGTCAGTGATATCAGAGCAAAGACCTGAACAAAAAACCTATAGTTGTTTCAAGAAGATTTAGAAATAGTCCTATCTCGAAGTTTAGAAAGAAGCAGATTATTAAAAATTCGATATCCTTTTCTACTGATGCATCATCCTATCTTCATACGTGTATATGAAACTAGGCAAACTATTGCGTCATTATATCATATTTTAAATGAAAAATGATTGATAATTTAATTCTTTATTTTAGTGTATTGCATTACCTACCATCATTAAAACGATTTATTCTGTTACATTGTTATTCGTATACCAATCATTGTTTGTTATCTTTAACATCGTACATTCCAAAAAACTATATATTTACAGCGGCAACCGATGGAAGCGTATGTGTTTATGATTTTACAGTATTAGTAGACAATGTTGAACTTGTAAGAGATAACAATATCCGTTATTCATCAATAACAGTTCATCAATCAGGTGTTAACGATATAGACGTTCGACAGTGTGAAAATGGTACAACAAGAAGAAGCTTTTTTTTTTGTTGAACTTGATCTTGTTTTATCTCTAGATCTATTACTTGTATCAACTGTCGGTGATGATGGATCTGTTTTTCTTCTCAGACTAGACAATGACTTATCTTGGTCAATCGTAACATCGTTCTTATTCGCTCATCAATCACCTGCCACAGGTAAATAGTGAATTAATAAAGCCATAGTTTTACAATATATTCTTTTTCTCAGGAGTTAGATTTCTATCTGATAGTGTATTTGTGTCTATTGGCATTGATCAACGATTAAAATTTTGGAATATGGATGTACATCATTGTCAGGTAAGTATATTAGTATTCTGAATGAGTTAGTTATTATTCATGAACCGTTTTTTTAGATTGATAATTATAGGACAACGTTAGTTGATATTACAGATATTTTATCAATGGATGTTCTGCATGTAAAGAAGTGAGTTTGAGTATAAAACGACTTTAGAAAACATCGTTTCTGTTTGTATTCAATTTTAGAACCAACGATATTTGTACTGTTTTCGCCGGTGCGGGTGTTCAGATGTTGAATTTTATTTTGTGATACTACGTTATCTGTTACTCTATTCTATTCGTTTGAGATGATAAAGAAATGTTGTGAATAATAGTTAATGCTTACAGGTTATTTTAAAACATAAAACGCGGAATTGTTAGCCCTCTTCATCATATGTAATAACATAAACCTTTCTATAATGAATTTAAAGTTTGTTTTTTGTTTGCCTAAAATTCTATAAAACAACCAACATACAGTTTTTCGAACATAATGTCACACGCTAAATTCCTATAATAGAATTAGTCATTTTTCTGCCAGCAACTACTGTTGCGATGTCTTTTTCTGTTGAAAAGCTAGTGATATTTCAGATATTCATCGAAAGATTTTCGGTGCTACAACAAATTCAAAATCTTAAAATCAACTCATAAAGAAAGTCCGGATAAAAATTAGTGTATATGACGGATACTTGCAACAGATGAGAACACCCACTAACACCCAAAAGTCCCTGAAATTAAAATCTGAAATTGCTATTCGACAGAGCTCGTCAAGCGGAATATACTAACATCCTAAGCAATCATTAATAGCTAAGCTTTTTAGCCTTTTTTTACAAATAAACACACAAAACAGTATGCCAAGTTGATTTACATGACTCTCTGAGCCTACTGGTGCGGTTATTGATCGAAGACAACGACTTCGTGATTTTTGAAAAAATTTTAAAATATTTAATTGTTTTTTCATGTCGTATGTATAGTAAAACCCCTTTTTCCAAATTTTAGAGTCAAGATATATAGACATTATATATCATTAGGAAGCCCATGAAATTCTCTACAAACGCGTGGGCATCCATGTAGGCATCGATGCCCACTGGAAAAATGAAGGTGGAAAAACGAAAGTGAGATTTTTAAATAATTTGTCTATCTGCGCTAAGTAGTTTCTGCAAAGACGTATTCAGTATAATGAGTGCGCGAACCTTAGCGAAACTCCAAATCTGATGAAACTTTCACAGAATGTTTTGCCACTTACGATACACGTACATGGTTCGTATAAATAACCCTCGACTGACTTATAGGTTTTTGAGGTAAAATCTATTCTTTCTACTTCGGAAACATTTTTATTGAAGAATAATTTGATATTCAGAATCAGTGTAAAAAGCTGCATCGAATGATGATGTGTAATTTGTAAGTTTTTCTGTACAAAATTTCCGACCTAACGGAGTCCTATACGTAAAGCATTACCGCGCCACATTTTGACTAGGTGTTTTGATATTTATTTTAGCTGCTGCGCAAAAGGCTACAAATACTGTTTTTATAGGTTTTCAGATATGCTCCTTTCAATGATACGATTTATAAAGTTCAAAAGTATTTTTATATAGGTTTTCTAGAGATCGGGTCTAGCAAAATACATTTTTGAACTTTTTAGACTACACCATTGAAAAGAGCGTGTCTAAAACCCTATAAAACCAGTATTTATAGACTTTCATACTGCTTCTACAGCATATGTCCACTTGCCTAGCCAAAGTTGCCCACCGTGCCACTTAGTCAAGAGTTCAGGCGAATAATCATTATGTCAGAATACAGTATGCGAGAGAAACGATACGTTGGCACTCATAGCCACCACCACCCACCGCATAAATCATGTATAAGTCCAGCTGATGAGACCCTTGAGTAAGGTCGAAACTGGTACTAGGCCACTCATTTAAGGAAAAGTCAATGTCTTTCCTTTCTCTCTTTTTTTTCCAGCTTTAATTATCAGTTATCCAGCAAAAAATAACGTTAGTAAGGTGCCGCTAATTCAAAAATCAAGCACTCTTCATTTTTCCTTGAAAGACACATCATCCGATGCAGAATTTTGTGCTGATTACGAATATCACCTTTTTAGTTCGATTTGTTTGAGTTTT